GAACGGGCCCGTGACACATCCTTCTTCGGCAGAGCACCGGCCCGCATCACCAGGCACGATCGAGCCGCGTCCAGCCCTGGCGACGAGAAGTATCCCGAGAGCATTGAAAACAATAGTACTTGCCTGACAGCAATACGAGCAATATCCTTCCTCCCCCTCATCCTCAATCGTCCTGCTACTCCTCCTGCCCCCCATCTTTCGCTTCGCACTCTCCAACGGTTGCTCGGAATTGCGGGGACGTCTCATGCGAAATTGGCTGGACCCCCTCGCTCGCGGCATCTCTTTGCCCATAATTGCGGGGACGTCTCAGGCGAAACAGACAGGATCACCTCGCGGGCGGCACCTTGAAGCCTAGTGCAGCGACGATGTCTCGAGCGACAACCTCAGGTCACGGTATCCCCGAGACACGGGCCAGACCACCTCTCGCGTAGCGTCCGGGAGCCCAGAGGTGTGAGGATGTCTAAAACGACACGGGCCAAACCATGGCAACTCTGCTCGTCTCGGAAAGCAGACTTCTGGGGATGTCTCGTGCGGAACGGCCCAAGCCACCTCGGCATGTTGCCACCGTCTCGACGCGTGGGCCCCTCGGGCGGCACCCGTTCTTGCCGCCGTGATGCCCCCAGGGCACCGGCTGGGCGACCTGGGAGCACTACGAGAAAAATCCGATTGACCGTGAACAGACGAGGCCGGGCGTTTCGCCTGAACCTTGTTCCCCATGTGTGGCCCTGAAGCTTAAGAAACGACAACAGTTTCACAGATGGAGGGCGGGTGGTTGTCATGACACGAGAGAAAACTCCCAATCAGTGGATGGTTCAAAAAATAGTGATATGGATATTGAGATCGATTGTGAGATCGATAATGGAATCGATAATGCGGACGATTGTGAGGTCGCTCGTGAGACCGATAGTGAAATAGATTCAACGAGATAGATATGTAGATCGACCGTGAAATCGCGTGTGCGATGATCGCTTGCGAGATCGACAATGAGATCGATTGTGAGATCGATCGTGAGATCGCCATAGAGGTGGGTAATGAGATCGATGGTGAGCCCGATCGCTGAGAAGATCGACCAAGCACCTGGGAACCCGGAAACCCCGCCGCCCACCGAAATCGGCCTGGGACCCAGATCGGGAGCGGCAAAGAGGGGGGTGTCCAAGAGGGGGGGGTGCAAATCATGACCGGCGGCATGTGCGCGGCCCAGCGGGGGGGCCAGGGACGTAATGAAATAAGAAGAGGCGCCATAAAATCTGGGGAAATATCATGGCCCCCGCCATGATATCCACCCCCCCCTAGTCATCACCCCCCTCTTTTCCGCCCCCGACCAGAACCGGAGACCCGGGAACCCGGAACCCGGGAATCCGGGAACCCCCGGCCGCCTACGCAGATCGGCCCGGAACTTTCGCCAACTCCTTCCATCTCCGCTGAGACTCCTTCAGTGCAAGCACTGATTGGGGAAAAATGTGGCTCTCGCCTTAGCGCCGCGCGCAGTCGTTTAAAACGACTGCAAGAGTTTCACGGTCTCAGGGCGGGTCCCATGTCGGCGCACCCCTCACATGTTTCGTGGCTGCCCCCGCAGCGCTTCCATATAGTTCGCTGGGGCTCAGTGCCAGATGGTGTGAGACTGGATGCCCACTATGCGCCTTTGCCTCTGCCTTTGCCTACTCCTCCTCCTCCTCCTCCTCCTCCTCCTCCTCCTCCTCCTCCTCCTCCTCCTCCTCTTCCTCCGCCCCGCCCCTCCTCCTCCTCCTCCCTCATCCTCCCTCCATCCTCCCTCTCTCCTCCTCCTCCTCCTTCCCTCCTCCTCCTCCTCTTCTTCCTCCGCCCCCGATCTCCTCCTCCTCCTCCTCCTCCTCTTCCTCCTCCTCCTCCTCCTCCTCCTCCTCCTCCGCCCCAGCAACAACCAAAAGCAATCGAACCCCAAACCCTCGCCCCTCGACGATCGAGCCTCGACCCTCGACCCTCGAGGACGCCGACGGCGACGGCGCTGGGCCGGCGGCGCGCCAGGAGGGCCGTGAGCACGGGAGACGCGAGCTGCTCCGACCTGGAGAAGATCTGGATCAGCTCCTCGGCCGCCGCGGGAGCGGAGGTCCTCCTCCTCCTCCTCCTCCTCCTCCCTCCCTCCCTCCCTCCCTCCCTCCCTCCCTCCTCCCCCCTCCTCCTCCTCCTCCTCCCTCCTCCTCCTCCTCCTCCTTCCTCTATCCTCACTCATCCTCATCCTCATCTCATCCTCCTCATCCTCCCTCCTCCCTCCTCCTCCTCCTCATCCTCCTCTTCCTCATCATCTTCCGCCTCCTCCTCCTCGGGGCCTCGGGGCCTCAAGTTCCCCTCCGCTCCCCTCGGAGAGCCAACCCTGCCAGCAGTCCGTTGGATGGAGACGACTGGCGTGTTCTCCTCTCGCGGTGAGAGAGCACTTGCACCATTGACGTAAGCGCCTTACGAACGGAAAGGGCAGCGGCAGAGGTGAGGGGGAAAGGTGAGAAAGGGTATACACACACGCACACACTTTTGCGTCGGCGGCTAGGCAGAATAACTACGCTGGCGGAGAACCAACTAAACGGGACACACGCACACACACACACATACACACACAGACACCACCTCGTCCCCTGGCCCCTGAGAATTCAGGTCGCGCGTTGCAGCCTTGCCGCCGCTGGGGACGCGGCGTGCGGCGTGTCACGGCCCGAAAGGGAGCTGGGGGCGCGAGGTGTGACGTGTCACAGCTCTGGGCCCCGAGGAGGACAGCCATCCTTCTCCTCCTCCTTCTTCTCCTACTTCTTCTCCTACTACTACTACTACTACTACTACTACTACTACTACTACTACTGCTGCTGCTACTACTACTACTACTACTACTACTACTACTACTACTACTACACTACTA